AAGTGGGGCGATGAGGGGGGGAGGGGCGCGACCTAGGCGACATAGACCGAGGCGAGTGTAGTGGACTGAGGGGGGGGTCCGGTTGGACGAGATCTGAGTGAGGGGGGGGGGGGGTGGCGCTTCGTGCTCTCTTTCCCCCCCCCGCGTCCTCCTGCCGCCTCTCTGCCTACCGTACCCGGGCCCTGGACCGCCTAAGGAATCCTATCTCATCTTTACCTTTTCTTTCGTCTCTTCTTTTCTCCAAGGCAGGCCAGGGGAGTGCAGCGGGATGGGGCTGGACCAAGCAGGCAGGAGAGTAGATAGGCAACGAATATAACAACCCGACAGACATGCACTCAAACCTTACTAGCGGTGTGAAAAAGTGCTAAGAGGGCACACACAACAGGGCACATAAGGAAACCGTGCCTCGACACGGTAACAACCGTGACGGATGGGGCACTTAAGATACAGAGCAGTTACTCATACATGCTATGTCTCAGGGTTTGAATGTGATTGTGTATATACAGTTGTACATGGGCTTCTGCGAAAGCCGAACTGCAATTTTCTATACCACTGATCCTGTCACGTAAAAATTTAAAAATAAAGAATAAAAAAAAAAAAAAAGCAAATCTGCATGATGACCACAAAAAAAGTACAGCTCAACAGCGACATACACTTTCTATCCATCTGCAAGAAAAGACAGCTGACCCCCAAAGACCTAAAAATCAAAAATCCACTGGCTAATATGCACAAAACACAGTATGCTGCAAACCTGTGTAAACGCACTAGTGAGAAACTAAGGAACCATCTCATCCACCAGCTCTACAACAAGAAATATAGGATACAACATAAAAAACAATATCTACTCCAAAATCTACGTGAGGAGAATACATATATTGCTAAACAACTAGAACATGATCTACACTATTTTCACAAAAAGCAACAAAGGGACCTTTTTAAGAAGACAAATAATAAACTCATCAGACTACAGCATGAGTATCACAAACATTTGGCAGAGAAAGAGAAATCTGGTATTGTTAACATTTCGGATTACAAACTATCTGACCCAGAAGCATCAGCTCTCTCCAAAGGATTATCAATTTTCGCTAGCACAAAACTTGATGATATTGGGCTCTACTCTGACGACTTAAAGCGGCACTGTCATGCCAAACTTAACTTTCCTCAATCTCTTCCTCTTCTCCCCCTCTCTCAGGATCTGTTCTTCTTTTCTTCCTGTCTTCTTTAGTTTTCTTTAAAATCATAAGACAAAGTAGGGACTCTTTGCCTTATGGAGGATTCCTCCGCTTGACCAGCTATGACCAGCGGAGGAGCAAAGTGTGCTTCATTTCCGCTGGTCAGAGCAATTTTCCCATAATTCTTACCTTTCCTCTGTGTTCCCACGATGCTTCCTGTCATTTTATATGAAACTGCCGAATTGCGTTCTAACTGAATGAGAACAGTATTTGTTTCTTTTAGAATGCAATTAGGCAATTTATTATTCAAATGAATGAAACTCTGATCCTATTCGTGCTGTGGCTGCATCTTGCAGCCGCTTAGTAGATAACTCCCTAATTCCCACGGTATCAGGGAGCTATCTACCAAAAGGCAGAAAGACCTAAATTGGTCTTTCAGCCAAATTTACTAATACTAAGTAAAGATTACTTAGTATTAGTAAATAATATGCCCCTACTCGCTATACTGCGAGTAGGGGCATGTCTAGTAAACAGTGAGCAGCCTGTGGCTACTCACTGTAATTTTTTTTTTATTTTTTTTTAAACTATTGGCCCCCACCCCTAAACGACAGGTGGAGGCCCTAAAGTAAAATAATGGGGGAGACCTAATGTCCCCCCCGGCCCCCACCCCTGCGCGGTGGGTGGGGGTCATAATGATAATGAGGGGGGGGGGGCTACTGTCCTCCCCCACCCGCCCCCACCCCTGGGCAGTGGGCGGGCCAAATGATAATGAGGGGGGGACCTACTGTTCACCCCCCATCCGGCCCCCACCCCCGCCGCCGCGGGTGGGGGCCATAAAGATAATGAGGGAGGGGACCTACTGCCCCCCCCCCGGCCCCCACCCCTGGGCGGCGGGTGGGGGCCCTAAGTCAATTCCCCCCCCCCAAGGTGACTAGGGGTCCCCAAGACCCTAGTCACCCATCCCCCCACCCAAATAAAAAGTCCCTACCTACCCCTCTCACCCTAAAAAATTGTGAGGGGGGAATAAAATAACTAACCTGTAAAGTAAAATTAAACTTACCATTCAATGTCTTCTTTTTTTCTCAAATCTTCATTTTTCAGCACCAAGAAAGGCTAAATAAAAAACCATCATAACCGTTGAACTTAAAATAAAAATCCCGAGCGCAAAAAAAAAAAAAAAAAAACCTGACGAAAAAGAAAAAACCTGAGAGCAAAAAAATAATCCATCTTCACCCATGGAGGGCTCCGCGCAGACTGAGCTCTGCAGGGCGGGGGAAGGCTTATAAAGCCTTGCCCTGCCCTGCAATTGGGCTAAGAACACTCTGATTGGTGGGTTTAAGCCAATCACAGTGCTCTGTGTCATTTTACACAGCGTGGGAAAATTATTTTGAATTTTTCCATGCTGTGTAAAATTACAAAGAGCACTCTGATTGGCTTAAACCCACCAATCAGTGTCTTCTTAGCCTAATTGCAGGGCGGGGCAAGGCTTTTTCTTTTTCGTCAGGTTTTTTTTTTTTGCGCTCTGGATTTTTATTTTATTTTAAGTTCGACGGTTATGATGGGTTTTTTATTTGGCCTTTTTTGGGGCTGAAAAAATGACGGTTTGAGAAAAAATAAGACGTTGAATGGTAAGTTTAATTTTACTTTACAGGTTAGTTATTTTATTCCCCCCTCACAATTTTTTAGGGTGAGGGGGGTAGGTAGGGACTTTTTATTTGGGTGGGTGGGTAACTAGGGGCTTGGGGTGGGGGCCAGAGGGGGGGTGAACAGTTGGTTCCCCCCCTCATTATCATTTGGCCCCCAACCGCCGCCCAGGGGTGGGTGGGGGAGGACAGTAAGTCCCCCCCCTCATTATCTTAATGGCCCCCACCCGCCGCCTAGGGGTGGGGGCCGGGGGGTGTGGACAGTAGGTCCCTACCCCCTCATTATCAATATGGCCCCCACCCGCCACCCAGGGGTGGGGGCCGGGGGGGCAGTAGGCCCCACCTCTTTATCATTATGGCCCCCACCCGCCGCCCAGGGGTGGGGGCCGGGGGGGGGTAGTAGGTCCCCCCCCCTCTTTATCATTATGGCCACCCGTCCGTCATTTAGGGGTGGGGGCCAATAGTTTTTTTTTTGTTTTTTTTACAGTGAGCAGCCACGGGTATAGCGAGTAGGGGCATTGGGGAGATTTTAATCTCCCCTGTGCTATTATGGGGGTCATATTGACCCCCATAGAGTGAGTGGGGACCTGGGGGGCTTATGAAGTGGTGGGGAGCACTGCCCCCTGCCGCTTCTATAGTTACATATTACAAGGAGGGAACTGCATGCCAGTAGCTCCCTCCTTGTAACAAACTGAACAAACAAACGAACACTGATACTGTGTTTGTTTGTTCGGCTGATTTTTCTATTCATTCATTTGTCTGTCTGATGAATGAATGAATAGATGAAATTCCCGTTCGCATGTCCAGGTGTTTCACTGGGCATGTGCGGGAATCTCAGTACTATCTAGTGTGGGCTGATGATGTGCCCCACAGGGACTTCATCTACCCACACAAAGATGGCTGTGCCCTGAATATAGATCGGGGCAGAAAATAAGGAATTAAAAATAGGTGATGTGGGGGGCTTAGGGGCATTTGGGTGTGACTAGGTGGTCAATTAGAGATAGTGGAGGCCGGAGGGGGGTTAAAAAAGAAACAAAAAAAAAACAGGATTCCGCATGACAGTGCCGCTTTAAGGAATACTCCCATGACAAAGAAAGCACTGAAACCACAATGGATTACAACAACCGGAAATAAAACACTAATTTCACTCCAGCACCAGGACGAAATGCCAAACTGGACAGTTACATTGAAAGTTTCTGTCTAAGAACAGTATCCTTGACAACCAAGCAAAACCAAAAGAAAATGTTTCATAATCTCTCAGTACAGGAACAAATGGCTATAAATGACCTGAAAAATAATCATGCTATCACCATCAAACCAGCAGACCAGGGAGGAGCAGTAGTGATAATGAACACCCAGGACTACATAAAAGAGGGTGACAAGCAATTGTCAGATGACAAATACTATAGAAAACTAAATGAAGGCCCCACCAAGGAATATACATCACAACTTAGGGAGCTCATTAAATCCTTCCCTGAGAACTTACACCTAGAACAGCAGTCACTCATACCAACTAGTCCCTGCATGGGCACTTTCTATATGCTTTCCAAAATTCACAAAGCAGGTAATCCTGGAAGACCCATAATTACAGGAATGGGAACTCTCACAGAACAGATCTCAGGACTGGTAGAAAATACCCTAAAACCTCTGGTCACCAACACTATCAGCTTCATAAAAGACACACACGACTTCCTCAACAAACTCAGCCAAATCACCAATCTCCCTGCTAACACCATCCTTGTAACCATGGATGTGGAATCTCTGTACAGCAACATTCCACATACAGATGGCATCAATGCTTGCTTCCATTTTCTCTCTCATGTCAACAACCAAAAATACAGCCCCCGAATTATCACAGAACTGGCACTATTAATCCTCACACATAACTACTTCAGTTTCAACAATGAGGTTTACCTACAAACCATGGTCACTGCTATGGGCACTAAGATGGCACCCCAATATGCTAATCTATTTATGGCAGATCTTGAACAGAGATTCCTAGAAATCCAACACACCAAACCATACAAATATTATCGCTATATTGAAGATATCTTCATAATTTGGACTGAAAGCGAAGAAAAACTGATACAGTTCCATGACAACACATTTCATCCACCAATCAAACTCAAAATTGAATATTCCACTAGATCTGTGAATTTTCTGGACACCACTGTGATCTGTAATAATGGCACAATCCACACCTCGGTTTACAGAAAACCCACAGACAGGTGCAGTTACCTACACAGCTCCAGCTTCCACCCCTCTCATACTAAACAGGGCATCATCTATAGCCAAGCCACTAGGTACCATTGCATATGCTCTGACCGTAATCCCCATCTAAATGTACTCTCCCAATCTATGAGACAGAAAGGCTACAAACCAAAGACTATTACCAAACAAATCAACTCTGCTGTAAAAACACTACTTGTGGCCACCTACAACCCAGCTCTTGAGGAAATACGGAAAATCATCAAAGACCTACAACCAATATTAACAGAAGAGGAGACTCTGAAAAACATCTTCCCTGAAACACCCATGTTGGCCTTCAGACAACCACCAAACCTCCAACAAAAATGAATCAACAGGAAGCTGCCCAGTGATGGTAAGAATGAAGAAATCGGGACCAGTCAATGCAAAAAACCTTGCTGCAAACTGTGTCAGCACATATGCACAGACAACACAGCCACACACAACAATAAAACCTACAGCATTAAAGGTTCATACTCCTGCACATCCAGCAATGTGGTATACATGATTCAATGCATAAAATGCCACCTACATGTGTCATTTTGCTCAGAAATGCTTCAGACTTGAGTAAGGGAGGTTCTTCCGAAAGCTTGTCATTAAAAAATTCTGTCCAATAAAAAAAAAAAAAAAGGTATTACAAGATAAGAATTGTATCTGTTTTTTTACATATATATATTTTATACAGAAAAATGCTAACAAAATGAACTTTTTTGTGGGTTTCTTTTTACAGTTTTTGCAATAATAATGAGTGCATAATTAGTGCAGGTTAAGGAAAGTAATTAAAAATAAATGCATTTAGTTGCTCTGATTTACAGAATATATAATGTGTCTAGGATTTAAAGGTTTTTTTTTGGTAGTTACAGGTCACAAAGCACAAGAAGTAAAATAAACTTTTAATGTGGAGCGATTTTAGAATTTGGTATGTTTGTTTTGTAAGCTTAATAGCCATAAAAGAAAACAAAATTGCCACACAAAAGTATATATAATTGATCACTGTAGGCAGTGATCGACTGGCAGGGAAGGGGTTAATTTTTATTTGGACTGGGTAAAGGTTTTTTTTTTTTTCTTTTACTTAAATGTTATTAAAACTTTTTTTAGCTTCATTTTTAACTTTTTAAAGTTTATTTTAATACTTTTTTTAACGTTAACCCCTTGTTAGCCTAACACCAAATCCCCCAATTCCCCACTAACTTCCACCCACCACAGCTTGCTAAATAAATAATTTTAAAATATTTAAATTAATTAAATAAATAAATGTAACCCCTGAGGGTTAAAAAAAAAAAAAAAAAATGAATAAAAATCAGATGACAGTAAAATGTAATCCCTGCCAATTGATCACTGTAGTCAGTGATCAATTGGCAGGGAAGGGGTTATTTTTTTATTAAAATGGGTAAAGTGGGGTGGGATTTTAAATTAACTTTATTTTTTTACACAGGAGGCAGGATCATCACTGTTCCGGCTCCCTGCACTTCACACAGAACCAGGAAGTGCAGGGAGGCTGAAGGTGAGGATATGGAGCACATGTTACATAGTTACATAGCTCAAAAGAGACTTGCGTCCATCAAGTTCAGCCTACCTCACATTTGTTTTTTGCTGTTGATCCAAAAGAAGGCAAAAAAACCCAGTTTGAAGCACAATTTTGCAACAAGCTAGGAAAAAAATTCCTTCTTGACCCCAGAATGGCAGTCAGATTTATCCTTGGATCAAGCAGTTATTACCCTACATTGAAAGATTATATCCTTGAATATTCTGTTCTTGCAAGTTTGCATCTAGTAGCCTTTGAACATCTGTATGGACTCTGATAAAACCACTTTTTCAGGCAGAGAAGTCCACATCCTGATTGTTCTTACAGTAAAAAAACCTTTCCTTTGCCTTAGACGAAATCTTCTTTCTTTCAGTCTAAACGCATGGCCTCGTGTCCTATGTAAAGTCCGGTTTGTGAATAGATTTCCACACAATGGTTTGTATTGGCCCCGAATATATTTGTATAATGTTATCATATCCCCTCTCAGGCGACGTTTTTCTAAACTAAATAGGTTTAAATTTGTTAACCTTTCTTCATAGCCGATATGTTCCATTCCTTTTATTAATTTTGTAGCCCGCCTCTGCACTTTTTCTAGTGCCATAATAGCCTGTCAGAGCGAGCAACGGTGCTGGGGCAGCCTGATCGGGTGCTCCCGGTCTGCCTCTAATACAGAGGCAGACCGGAGCACCATTAACCCGCGATCGCCGTGATAATGGCAATCCGGGGTTAATTTTAACGGGTGACGGACAAGGTCCGTCACTCGACGTTATGGCAATCCCCTGAGTGACGGACCTTGTTGTTAAGGGGTTAAACGTGATCTTTGTGATGGATGGCCAATCTCCAAGATTTGTTTTGTGCAAGCCACAAGCTTGAAGCACTATTTTGTGACGGTTGGCAATATGCCTAGTCATCTCTGAATTGTATGTGTCAGTGTTATACACAGAGTAGTGTGTGTCTGTATATGCAGCTGTAGGTCAATAGAGTGGGAGGTACAGCAGCTCTCTATGCAGGCTTAAAATAGAGTCAGGTGTGGAATGTATTTTGTGGGTTAATCAAGTTAAATGCTGTACTGTGAGTGGCCACCTGCTGTGGAGCCAGTTATGTTATATACTACAGCAAAGAGCTGTGTTCATGTAATCAGAGATTGTTCTGATGGGATAGTCAAGATAACAATTTGTTGTCATGGTGCTCTTGCATGGGGTGGGGAGGGGGTATATAACAGTGCAGTATATCCTGCATTCCCAGTACATAGGCTACCAAAGATGAGTTCTAGTAATTGTAGAGGGTGGGAGGAATGTTATAAGTCTCAAGACCAAAGGGCATGAACCTGATTCTTATTCTGTAGTCCTGGCTGGAGATTTAAATATATAAGGCTCTTTTGTGTGGGTTTGACAAGATTTCAGTGGTGTCCTGAGATATGCCAGTCATATTGTTTCTGGAGGCAGAAGGAGAGATATGCCTAGATTTATGACTTGCTTTTATTTGGTGAATTCCCAAGGGAATCCAACTCATGACGCGGGTTATGCATTGAGGGATCTGTGGGAGGGACGCATCATCAGTGTTTGGGAAATCATTTGGGATAAGGCCGAGGACATAGAGAACACTGTGGCCATAATAGTGTTGGTCACAGACCGCTGGTGCTTAAGTGACTGTGCATCTACCCTGCTAGGTTTGGTGTCCCCTGACTAGGTGGGTGAGGAGGGGGCAGGGATTGAGCCAGCCGTAGCTGGGGTCTCACCAAACACTAGTGGGCTACCTAACTCTCCAGGGGTAGATGGGAATACAGGCACCTTAGGCTTAGGCATGGTAAAACTAGCTAAGACCCACAAATTACTGACACAGAAATATATTTCTCAATAGGAATGCTGTCAGGGGAAAATGAGGTAATCAGTGAGGGTTAGTCACCCAAATTAGCACACCAGAAGGGATAGATGGGAGCTCACCAGGGCCCAGACAAGCAGCTAGAGACACAAGGCAGAAGGAGGAGGGTACATGCAGAAACGGGAAGGAAAAAATGCTGAAAATCACAAGATCTCAGTGAAAAACCTGCAATTTTGCAAGGAAAAACTCCCAAACTGAGAAATGTGTATTGTGACCAAAGAGACAACTCACAAAAGCTGCAACAAAACAAACAAATGGTTGGATACGAAAAAACTTGCAAATGAACAAACGTTTGCGGACCGAACTGCAATGATAAAAAAACAGTACCAGGATTACTAATTGATCCCCCATGTAGAACTGTATCACACCTAAGATTAGAAGGTAATGTCTTACCAGGCCTTAGAAAAGCCCGGACTTAACATACCAGGGAATAGTCAGAATACTTGCCGAGGTCGGAGACACAGAATGGGACACAACGATAAGGGAAAGCCAAAAGTCAGGGATACCAGAATACAGGGAAGTCAAAACGAAGAAAAAGTCAATAACCTGAAGTACCTGCTCAGGAACACACTCTTGGACAACCACTAAGGGAAACCACGAGTACTGAGTAAAAGAAAAAAAGGAGTTTAACTAAGTCTCCTTCAGATCTGATTGGCCGTACCCGACCTTTGATCCCAGAATGTGTGTGTGCGTCCTTTATGTGACGTCACACGCATGTCGACGTCGCCAGTAGCGTGGGTGGACGTGGGGCTACATATTGGTGTGGATCCCCAGCGGCCACCAAGATGGCGCAGGAGTCAGATATATTGCCGCATGACTGCTGAAAGTACTTCTGCATTTATCAGAAGGCAACTACTGCAAATACCGTAAGGTGAGGCTGAACATGTTACAAACGGGCGTTCACATGCGGACGAAAGACACGAGAAAACCACTAAAAGTGTCGAATGGGCGTAAAAAAAAAAAAAAAAAAAACACAGAAAGGGTGCCAAAACAGCCCCGGGACCCGGTACAGCAAGTAGGGGAGACAGAAAACGCAAGACCCGAGCACCCCCGAAGGGAAAGTCAGAAAATAGTGTGTATAAAAAAAGTAGAAGGAATGAAAAAAGGACAAGACCCCCCCCCAGCTGGTCTGGGACCCCGAGCACAGAACCAAATAATACACAATAAAACAGGTACACAAACAGATCTACAATGTAAACTCAAAGGTTAAGTAAACTAAAATCCCCAGGCAAATAATAAGAAAAATACACAATAAGTAGTACAAAGTCTCAAGAGACAAAATACTTAACTTACTGTGGAGAAGCTAAGAAAGAGGAAGTATGAAGGGAACTGCTGACTATTATACTGGGACTTGGTATGGGAGTGGCCTAGTACTATGTATACCATATTTTTCTTACTGTTTTGTATTATTTGCTGTTGTTATTGGTGGACAGTAATGAAAGGGATATGCAATATGAACCTCTGTGCCTTGTTATAAAATCCATGATTTCCCCTAAGGGGGTTTGTATTATTGTTTTAATATCATGGTAATTATTTTAAATAATAAACAATGGTATCATCATAAAATGTTTTATGTATGATACATATGAAAGTTAAGCATCTGCCTTAGGTAATTTCTTTTGATTGGATATATGTATAATGATATAGGGTATATATCAGAATAATGTGTAATATATACTGAACACTTTTTTTTTATGTTTATGTATCCCTTTCCCTTTTTGCCCTCCTTTGCCCCTCATGGAGCCCCATGAACATGGACATGCCCTGCCTGAAGGGCAACCATCAAACTATATCAGGAGAATATGAGATTTTGCTGGAGGCATGAATTAGAGGAGGAGATAGACGAAAGACAGAATTGCCCGAAAACCAGAAGGGATGTGTCATGAATGGTGCGACGTCACTTTTGGGTCGAGTTCAGGATAAG